AAAGTAAAAGTCTAAATACGAAACATACATGTATGAGTAAGAATCTGAATCGCAAGACTACACAATTACAAATCACGAAACAGCTTAGTTTGGTTGCTTATAATTCAACAAAAAGAATTAAAAAAAAACTTAATAAAAAATAAAATAATAAGGTGTAGTGTGAGAATTTCAGATATAACATATCTGAGTAAATAAATATAGGTATATATGGAGATGATAATAACGTCATGCATATAAATTGATTATGTTGAGTACAAATATTTAAACATTTCATAGCTACATGTACAAACCATATGGAAAAGCTGAAACAGTAATATAATTACAAACCTTTGCCATAAAAGCCATCATGGACAATTTTGATGTTAAGAAAATGTTATTCAAGATCTAAGTACCATGTCAGTGGGACAACAAATATGTAAATGATCAAAGATACTCAACAAAGCACATACGTACCATGGATGCACTGTCACTATTTTTGTTAACTGATTCTGTATATTATTCAATTTATTTCTGTATATTACAATTCAATATGCTAGTCTTAAATTTGTATCTATGGCTGAGAAAAAAAATATCTGTTTATCGTTTCCATGTGCATCATTTTGAACTATGCGCCTCAAACTTTTTTTTTCTTTCTAAAGCATTCCAAAATGTACTCGCCCTTGTCTCAAATTTCCTCCATTTTAGCTCAGTATTTAAAAAAAAATCGCCTCATTTTAAAATGTCCTTGACACGAGAAACAGAGAATTTTTTACTGTTGATGAAGAAGTTTTGCCAATAGAGAATTATATCTACATTGGGTCTAAGCCCATTAAACGCACCCTCAACATTTTTGAACACTTTGATGTATGAAAACTTGTATAATAAAATTGTTCAAAAATTTCATTATCTTGTCTACTTTAATCTGGAAATATATGTAATCACTGGATTATAAATTCAGCTGAAAGCAAAAGAATGTACCCAGGTATTTTCAACCGAATAGATACCAATGGGCCTATGAAATCTGCCATTGATCATAGAAGTATATGATGTTACTCACCAATGGTACAAGTCAGTTTCAAATTCAGTTTAATAATTCATGGATGGATAAACTCTTATTGTATATTAATGTCACTATATACCTGAAAACTATCATTTTACATGATAGTTTTATGAAAATTTATAAAATATTCATTCATAAACATTTATCCTAGAAGATTTTCTGTTTCATTCAAATTAAAAAAAAGATGCTTTCATTAGATATGCATGTACATGTAGAAGCCATTTAGAAATGCCCATTTCCCATGACTCGGATGGACCATGTATCTTCAATTCACTAATTTAGATGAATATTTTAATTTTCAGTAAAAAGTGATATTTTTGACTTCTTGTTGAAAACCTGATTGTTGAAAGTCTGACTGCTTTGATATTATACACAAAGGTACCTCAGGTGGATCTGTCTCAGATTTGTTCAATTCGTAATAATATCTTCAATTTTCTAAATTTGGATAAATATTATTGACATTTTCAGTAAAAGTGATATTTTCAACTTCTTGTTGAAAACTACAAGTCTGATTGCTTTGATATTATACACAAAGGTACCTCAGGTGGATCTGTCTCAGATTTGTTCAATTCGTAATAATATCTTCAATTTTCTAAATTTGGATAAATATTTTTGTAATTTTTGGTAAAAAGTGATATTTTTGACTTCTTGTTAATAACCTATTGCTTTGATATTATATATGCAATGCTTCAGGTGGGTCTTTCTCAGATTTGTTCATTTTGCGTTGATATCTCTGATTGTTTATGTTAGAAGCCTACTCATTAATTTTGAAAAATCAGTTATAAATCGCATGACAATGTTTATTGGTATATTGTGTAAAATCATGGAGCTATTATCGAATGGCACCATAAAATAGTATTCTTTTGAGTGTTACAGTGACAACACATATTTTGAGAAACTTGTCCAATTATTTTACAAAAAAACACACTATTTTTAGAACAATTCCATAGAGCACAGTGTTAAAGAAAAATTGCATTTTTTGGCACTTTTTAAAACCCAGATTTTTGAAATAATTGAAGGCAACAAGTATCCAATCATTCACAGTATATGATTTCTTCAGCCTATGTCACCAGACTACAACTTGAGGTACATGTATGGCAAAATATCTCTGCCATAGGAATCTATGGTAAAAGCATTATACCGGTAATACTGACAAAATGGCCAATATCCACTAAAATACAACTATCATTTTCTCAAAAATTAAGCTGGTGACCGCTAACTTTTTTTAAGTCAATATTATTATTGGAAAAAGAATAAATCCTGAGTATTTGCATTCATGAGTAGGTTTCTTAAGTGAAAGTGCATTGCTAACAGCGGAGATATCGCAGCCAAGAAGTCGCCTGTTTTCATTTGAAATTTATGACAGATTTATAAATATTTTATATTAAAGACATTCATGTCTTTATGAAATTCACTGTACGTATTACCTTTCTTTTACTGGTGACATTACCTGCTGGTACATGTATTAGCTAATTGCAATAAATTTGACAGAGAACACTTCTGCTAACGTGTCCTTTAAAAGATTGTCACTCTGCTGCTATTTTACCTTTCAAAGCATAATCCAGATGTGAATCAGTAATAAAAATATAGATTTTAATTAATTAAAATTATCAAATTACTAAATGCCTTCAATTAAATCCTGCATTCTTAATAAAATATATTGAAAATGCATATCCAACAGTCAAGTTATGTCAACCATGCACTTGTGGAACTTATCGGTAACGTATGTTTCTCTGCAGTCGCAAATTTAAAACTGCCAGTGACTTTTGCCTCGTCATTGAGTCTGGTGCACTTGACCTCGGTTTGTTTTGAACTCTGAACTTTACTAACAACTACTATGGCACAAATTTGATTTAGATTCAGACCTTTTCTTCGACTATACCTCCGCATGTAGACGTATTAAAGGATACCTTTTTTGTAGATTTTAGTCTTGTTTATCTCGTTTATCTAATGTCTTATTTAGCATAAAATAACTTTATATTGAAGATGAAATTATGAATTACTACAAAAAGAACGAGAAACATAACCATATACATAACTTCAACAGAATTAACAAATGTACAATATTATTATATTATACGTAATCTTTAATGTACGACTAAATCAAAAATCTGGAAATTGTAAAAAAACAAAACACTGTTTTTGTTAATTGGCTGAGCGAAAGGCTCCATTAAATAAATTTCAAAGACAGACATAGAAACAATTAGTTTGTGATTTCCCCATATTGGTAAGCCCTACTGTTGTGGCAAATTTAAATTGACAATCAGTCAAAATACATGTAACTAAACTTCTAAACTCAAAAAGTAGTTTAGTAACCAGTCATAGGGAATAACCTTTGCAAATTCCTGGAAATTCCTATGTCCAAAATAAACTATTTCCTGATAGGATGGGTACACCGTTTTGTTTATTCTAGAAGGTAGAGTTTATTGGGGATAGTATGCTCAAATCTCGGTATGATGATCACATAGTGAAGGTAGAGTTTATTGCAGATAGTATGCTCGAATCTTGGTATGATGATCACATAGTGAAGGTAGAGTTTATTGCGGATACATGTAGTATGCTCAAATTTCGGTATGATGATCACATAGTGAAGGTAGAGTTTATTGCAGATAGTATGCTCAAATTTTGGTATGATGATCACATAGTGAAGGTAGAGTTTATTGGGGATAGTATGCTCGAATCTTGGTATGATGATCACATAGTGAAGGTAGAGTTTATTGCGGATACATGTAGTATGCTCAAATTTCGGTATGATGATCACATAGTGAACGTAGAGTTTATTGCAGATAGTATGCTCGAATTTCGGTATGATGATCACATAGTGAAGGTAGCATTTAACGAGTGTGAACGAATAATTAACATTAAAATCTTACTGACTTTGGTGTAATAATATTGCATATGTGTATGATATGGATGCTGTTGTAGAATATATTGTGACTTGGGTGTATGACTATATATGGTCATACCATAGGGTTTGCCATGTCTACTCTACCATGTCTTAAATTATAAATGAATTTACGCAAAAAAAGTGAAAAATGAGATAGATGAAAGAATTATAATGCATTTATGTAGTATTTTTTACTTGGCACACCTGGAATATATATATAATATAACACTTTCAGTCTAGGTCATGTATTACTGTATTGTTTTGTAAGCAATTATCATATTACTAGTAAGATATTGTAAAGAAAAATAGCATAATGTAC